GATACTAGGCCAATCCATCAATTCCAACTTCTGTCAGTTTGTGATTTGTAGCGCTACTATCAATCAGTGTTATAGCAAAGTATTTGTCTTCATACCTGATCTGATGCACTCAAATGGTCACAACTTCTTGTTAGAAATCCTGGCAGTTTCATCCAATAGTCAGTCACTAGTCAGTATCAGAAACCAGTCAACTTTGAATCAACTTACTAGTCCTAAGGGGAATACCATGAAGCGATAATATTGACTGTCAGTGGCACTATATATCATAAACTAACAAAAGTTAGGATAAAGCAGCCGTTGAGTTACTACCCAGTATTATTATTGTTTCTTTAGTTTCTAGAGGAACATTGGGCTCCAGCTACACGTCTCCATTGCGTTCGGTTCTCTATCAACGCCCCATCTGACTCTACGTCTGCCCACATGCTTCCATCTCCTCTTCGCATGACCTTCTCCATGTCACCCTAGTACTGACGACCAACTCGCCGCTTCCCTTTCAGGTTCCACTCGAGAGAGAGAGAGCCTGTCGTGTGACGTCACTTGATGGTTATCTCAGAGTATGGCCAAACCACCTCCATTTCTTGCTGAATAATTGTTGCACAATTGGTTCCTGTTGGGTTGGTTCGCTCCCACAGACACCTATTACTGATTTCCTCTGGCCATCAGATCTTAAATATTGAGTGAAGGTAGCTGTTGATGAAAGTCTGTCGTTCGTTCGAAGCTCCCTTTATAGCTGAATCATAACTTGCTGGTTTTTTAACGTGAAGGTTCTGAAATCGTTCCCTGCTGGGTGCACGAATGTGCACCGATGAAGAATACCTCTAATTGCATGATATAGCTACCCACTTCTGCCTTGTTTTCAAGGATGGAATTATCTAATTCCTCTGTCATGTCGTTTATGAATAAAAGGCATATTGTCACACTTAAACCATTTAGTTATCAAAACATTGTTAAGATGTTTAAACTAAAATTCTGAATTTCCTACTTGTTGATTTCTACTAGGTTGAAATGCTCCCTCGACGCTGACATGTCAGCTCATAACTCAGAAGCTTTAACAGAGACATGTTTAGATTAACATGGCATTGATTGATATTGACTGGCTGGTAGAGGTACTTAGGTCAAGCGTTCTCTCCTGTTCGTGATTCATCAACCGGGTGTTTCTGAATCGTTATTAACTGACAGTGTTCCCAATGAGACTCGAAATCACAACTAATTGTTTCAAATGAGCCTAAGTGGGAACATTACCAATTACTGAAGATGCAAGCATATTCAGTTGACTAGTCTCAAAAAGGACGAAATGCGTGTCCAGCATACCCCTAGTAGTAATATATTTATAGTAAACGGATATAATTGTAAGTTTTTGAACCACTTTAGAGATCAGTTAGCTTCAAAGCTAACAGTCTAAATGGTCCCAAAGAAAGATATAAATCATATCGCCTTACATTAGAGAAATAAAGACAGAGACTAAGTCCTGTTGTCTGTAAAATTCACTATGGAGAGAAGCTTACAGTTATAAAAAAAGTCTGTAAACATGCCTCAAAACTGTACAAGTGATTGTGTCGCATCCTATGTTGTACACCAATTTACATGTGTGTGTGTGTGTGCCTGCGCAAAGTCACACATACATATGGAGAAGTAACCGCCTTTTGAACATGACGATGATAAAATATTTATCCGAATAGCTTGAAAAATAATTAAACTATAAAGCGTTGATAATCGAAAGTGACATACTACCAAACTCGTCCATAGCTAAATACCTAATTGGTAGGAATCACAAGATTGATGTCAAAATAATTTTTAAGATTATCTACAAAACTATCAGAGACTCATGATGAAATGTGTTGAGGTAATAGCTATCGGTAAAATTAGGCCTCCCTTTCTGCCTGTGTGCATATAATCAATATATTGTTATCCTTAATCTACCATGGTAGTTCTTATCCAATTATAGGATCAAGAGTAGTTTCACTTTTATTTCTTTATTCTTTCGCATTCTGAGTAGAACACAGGGACTCAGGCTTGAGTTATGAAGCTTACGCGGCAGTTGCGTTTCTTTTCACAGGGTAGCGTTTCTAACCTCATGCTCAGTTGCGTCTCTTAACCAGTCTTACTATCGGCTGAGCAAGGCTTAGGGATGCATTGGCTGGACATCGGACCCCAGACCACCTGTGTGCTTGGTGAGTGTTCTACCACTGAGGCACCAACGTACGCCAGGAATAGTAGTGTTAATTATTCTCCTTCTTATTCTTAAATCCTTTATCATTTTGTATATTTTAATTAGCCTTTCACTTCTCTACATAAATTGATTTGACAGGTAGATGTGTGACCAGATTATCCGCAAATACATCACACTTTTCAGGGAAAATTTCGTCTTCTAATAGTGATATTCTAATTTGTTATGAATATATACATATATATGTTAGAGGTGCGTTGGTGGCACAGTGGTAGAATGCTCGCCAACCACGCTGGCGGTCTGGGGTTCGAGACCCGGTCGACTCACTCCTTTACATCGCTATTCCAGTAATAAAACTGGTAAAAATGTAGCGTTGTGCATGAGGCTAGCAACTGCGTCCCGTATAAATAAATATCACTGATACCGAAACTTCAAGCCTCTAGCTTGTAGCTCTATGTTCCACTGAGAAGTTGAAGGAATAAAAAAGAATTACTAGCATTATGTACGAATTGCACAGATGCTGTATGCATATTTTTACAATGATTCACTTAAAGCTAAACTTACCCTTAGATGAATTCATCTACTGGGATCTCACTAAATCATTTGAGCAATAAATAACCTCTAAAGTAGTCATGAAAAGGATTTGGATAATCGTTGTTTTAGAAATCTGACATTTTCAATATGGTAAAAAACTAATTAAAATTTATTCATTTAGTCTCTTTAATTAATTTTTCTACGATCTATTTGAGTGAATACGAAGGATATTCGTACCTATTTTATGGATAAAGGTATATAGTAGCAGTCTCATTTCTTTTATATAATGTGGATTCACAGCATGATTGAATAGCTAAATAATTAATTATTTCCTTTTCGAATTAAATCAGCAAAGGAGAAGATAGAAAGTTTCAAAAAAGTCGGTCATATTTCTTTTTATCGATTTCACTCCCTTATAATTAGTGTTATGGATTTTGTCACGAATAAATATCTGTGAGAAAATCATTGAGAACCAAAGTGTGCCAGACAGCTGTTTTATCCTAGATCGAGACTTTGCAGTTGTGCCAATCACAACCCAATAAAGGATCAAATGCAGGACTTTTAGTTTACCAGGCCACTCCACTGACTATACAGTCTCTTTGGCCAGAATTCAATGGCCTAGGAATTCTAACTTCTGTCAATTCATGATATGGTGTTATATGTGAAGCAATGGCATCGATGAGCATTTAACTCAATCTGACATTTATTTTTATTGTTTTTAATGTATTCCCTTGTGTTCTCAATGAAACAAGGGGTTTCAAGAACTGAGTTTTGAAGTTTCAATAGCAGTGATGCCATTCTCTTTTACTTGGTGGGGTTGCTAGTGTTACACCCTGTACTAAATAATTATTTGGTAAATCCCTTCTGAAAGATTCAATTAAAATATGGATTCTTATTAAGGTGTTTCAACTAACTCTGTAATTATTATCCGTCTTTCATGGTTCTGACATATGCATATCATTCCTTAACTTGACCTTTATTATTTGTCTTTGTTATTGTTTATTCTCTAATTTAATGGATCTCCTTATGCTTGTGTGATACATTGATAATGTGTTCTTTGACGATGCGATTTGTTTAGGGGTGAGTCGAAGTCATTCTGATCTTGGACTGTCTGCGGGGAGGCATTAGTGTATGATCTTTGTGGACAGAGTTTGATCCTACCTCGTCAGGAATATTCCACAAGTAACAGTTTTCTGTTGCCTTTAAAGCGTTTTGTGTCTGTGCGTCTCTCAAAGAAGTTTTGATCTGTTGTACAGTAAGACGTAAAGATCGTTTGTTTATGTTCAGAGTACAGCAAGCTGGTTTTGCTCATTACTCGCCTAACCCGACTTACTGTCAGCTAAGTGAGGTTTAAGGGTACATCATCAAGTGACCAAAACCTGACCAATTGCTTAGTTAGTGAACATTCTACCAATGAAGCACCAACACTCTAACAATGGCGGATCCCACCTGTGACAACATTCAACTAGAACTTCAGGAATTTCATCCTGAATAGTCCTAAATCCTAAATACGAAGAAACAGTTGTACAGTGCTCTTTGATTTTCAGTGATTTTCTCACGGACGTTGGTTCGTGAGGAAATCTACACTAACATTAATCCAAATCCCTTCAATACTTATAATCTAGATATACGCATATATCATTAGACTTCAAACTGCTAGAGTTATTAATCGTCGTTTACTACTTCTAATAATATTGATTAATTATTCAAAATATTTCAAATTATCGAATGAGTGCATATGAATAGTTTTTTGTTGTTTAAATGATCTAATTTGCCAGTGATAAGTAGTGTAACCTTGAAAAAAGAAATATTTAAACTTAAAACACGTTGTACAGAAAAGAACAAAATGAACACTCCTGTGATGCTGTCAATCTCCATTGTCACATGCTTTTGTCGGTGGAATTTGCTGCCGATCCAAATCACCACCTAAGTGCAGTGAAATCAATTCATCTAAATAAAACTGTCACAAATGACTTAAATACTGAGAATAAGATTATTGAAATTATATTTTTAGGTCATAATTTCAGAATTACTTTACATAAGAATCTTCCTATAAGGCATAGTGAGATTAAAGTAAGTTTAAGGTAAGTTTAAGTCAACTGATAAATAACCCTCCTGCAGTAAGCACTTCAATGGTGTATACAGCTTGATACCTGGAAAGCACTCATACTCAGTGATACGATATAAGTTTATCAAAGTTTCGATATATAATTCACAGACGAATGCCAATAGGCGAAAAAATCTTTATCCCAACTTCCGTGCTTATTTTAAATCCACTGAAATTCTTTTAGCATGTCTTGGAAAAGTTGAGGAGAGTGAGTAGTTTTCAGGAGGAAAACACCTTGAAGCAGACGTCTGTCAGTTGTAAATATTAGAGAGAAGACATGGTGGTTCTGACGTAGGGCTAATGAATACTATACTTCAGGGCCATCGGAGTAGACATTACGTTCACATACATCATCCAACTGACTGATTTTATTTTCAAGAGATTTTTGGTAGAGATTTTATTTGTTTCAAGTTTGATCACCGACTGATATCAGTTAGAGAACCATTCAAATCAAAGAAAGGCTGGACAACTGTCTCATCCAAGTCTGGGACTCTTTTTCAATACCTACCCACCACCAGGGTTCAAACGAAACACCTTCCGATTACAGGGCAAGCTCGTAGACCATTAAGCCAATGGGAATCTATTCATTTGCCTGTGAATTCCAATCTTTAGCGTGACCACCAGCCAGAGTCATAGGCGAATATCTGTCCTCCCTCCGTACCGGGTGTACCCCACTAGTGACGACTTCTTACCAGAATCTGAGGCGATTTCATCATGTAGCCAGTCAGACTTTAGCAAACATCAGGTTAATTTTGAAGAGTTTATTTGTAGGGATTTGATTTATTGCCCTGGTAGGTGTCTCCTGATGATGAGTCCCGAAGTGAGGCGAAACAGTTGTCCAGTACTCCACGGTTTTCAGTGGAACCCTGAATTATATCAATCCGTGATAAAACTTGACTGATTTTATCCTTAAATGAGACTAAGATCAATGAAAAAAAATAAGTGAAAACTGAATAAACGCGTTTGATCCATTTACCTGGTTAATTCATCTCCATTCGACTGTTGTATACCTTTAACTGGAGCAATTTTCAAATTCGAGTTGCTTTGCTGTACTATTGGAGAAATATTATTTGTAGGTTTTTGAATTAATCCTGTTTGTAAAGGTTCCTGTTTAATCCTTTGTAAATTTACACTGGAATGTGGTCTTCTAGGATTGACGTGATTCAATCGCTTAGCCTGTAATGTTACAGAGGCTACTGATTTATTGGCTAAATTTGTAGATTTTAAAGGTACAGATGATTTGACTGGATTGTCATCACCAAATTTCACTTGTTTTCTTTCTCTTAACTCTTTTAGCTCTGATGTTAATGCTGGATTCTTTTCAGTTTGACGACTAGTAGCTACACCAGTATCAAACATTTTCACTCTATCTTCAACCGGTACCAACTCCTGGCAGTCAACTAAATCTTGATCAATAAAACCTGATGTAGAATAACGAGAATCTCGTTGACCAGTTAACTGAGCTAACTGCCATTGACGTGCACGTTCAGCTACAGTCATTATAGAAGGATCAGTCTCTTTCACTTGTGCTCGTTCTTCAGAAAAAGTGGATGAACGAGGACAGTCTGGTTTACTTGAAGCAATAGTGTGACCTCTAGTCAGCTGATGAGTTGATCGGCGGTTCACAGGACTACCATCAAAGTTTGGTGAACCTCCAGAAGATTTCAGTGAAGAAGGACTTATAGTTGATGGACGTTGTGATTCAGTTGTTGGTTTATACGCGCTTAGAGGTCGATTGTTTCGACGTTTCATTTGTTCATAGTAGGCGCTTATTGACGAAACCTCTTGACGTCGACCAAGTGTATCAGCGTCACCAGCTTTCCATGGTTCTAAGTCATTCGTTGCATCATTCTCAAGAGTCTTGGAAGTTTCCTCTGTCACTGACTTTCGTGATCGGAAGATAAAGCTTGAAGGATTTAGCTTTTTCGGCTCTCTACCAGTATGCATTCCACTGCGCTGACATTCTTCCGACTGGGTAATGGTTTCTCCTGGTTCAGACTTTTCTAGAAAACGTAGCGTTCTTGGAGGATTTCCTAATTTAGGTGCTGGTGTTTGTGAGGCAATATTTGAAGAATTCTGTGATGGTAATGTACTGCTGGAGTAGTTAGCACCAGGTTTCTGTATAGGTTTCATGGATGACTGTGTTGACAATGCATTATTTGAGTCATTCCCTGGACTCGACACCTTTACATATTTATTTTCTTCCTCTGGCTTCTTCCTCTGGATACCGGCGCCGCCTGATTCAGACTGTGAGGTCACTTCAGGTTCTGCAATCTGATGGCTAGCTGCAACTGCCGGCACGGATGAAGGCATATTGTTATTACCTGATGTTTGCGTTGGTAGGTTCAAGCTTGACGTCATAACCGGATTGGCGATATTCGCTGGTGGGAATAGAGATTGTGTGTTAAATGTACCAGAAAGTATGGCTCTCAGAGTTTCTGGATCTACAGCGACTATAGCTACTTGTGGCTGAAGAACGGTGGTACCAGGTAACATCTGAGGATTCTGAACTGACTGAGTCTGAAGGTAACTGACAGCCATGGGTTTTGTGAGTTCTGTAAAGAAGCCATACCAGGGGCTAGGACATAATTTTGGGGAATAACGTATAATGGTTAGTTGGAGCTCCGGGGTTTACATTTGATGAAGACATAGATGATGACAGGCTTTGAGCGAGAGTATTCGACATGTCATATGTGATGAAGCTGTATGAGCCATCGGATTATTCGGAGCAGTTGTTTGCAATTGAGGTGTAGAAACTTCAGTTTGCGGCATAACCCACCCACCAGGAGGCGGAGGCTGAAGTGACTGTGAAGGCTGACTCATTGTTGGTTGTGGTTGTGATTGGTATTGTCGCCATTGGGGATAACTCACTCGGTTTTCAACTTGTTGTGGATTATTGAAACTGGGTTGAGTTTGTCCATTACTGGTAGTACCAGGCTGACTGGGATCTAAAAATACATGAATTAAAGCAATGAGTCAAACTCAGGAAATTTTCACTTTTTAAAAACAACAGAAATAGTTATTGATTGGTTCATTAAAATAAACTGAAGAGCTCTAAATGCTTAATATTCTTAAACATAATAACCTTAGATTTAATTCGTCAGTGATCGATAGTATTTCTGAAATCTTTGAAAATAAAGAGTAATCACCACTGTATAGATAGTGCATTGTGACCCCTAAAACTCTTCAGTAGTGTGCACCCATAAACACGTGAGAAATCGAAACCGGAAACTTATGGTTACTGACTTAAAATTCAAAGATCCACGATCATTCTTGATTGGACACTTGTAACTAGTGTGATGTGTCTAGTCCTTTCTTCCCTGCAGACTGAATTCTATCAGTCAGGTGTGTAATGTGGTCACCATTCTAGGTAGCTCGCCATCATGGTGCACATTGATCTGATGATATTAGATGGTCGGAGACAATCGGCCACAGGAAGCCTAGGACCTAGGCGTATCTGCAATCTTGAAGGAACTCATGTCCCCTTTGAGATTCGAACCCGCGATAATTTCCACTTTTGTGCTTCCCTTTCACCTGGACCGCTTTAAATGACTTCAAGGAGTTAATATGAAATAATATGACTATATAGAATGCTGGTCTACCTTGTAAAGAATTTATCTTCGCTGTAGTTATTTACAAAAGGTTTCATTTGCCTAGTAATATTGATTTATCCTTGGGTAAGTTGAATACCTGATTTTCAAGTACTGATTTTGTAGGGTTTTTGTTTGATTGCATGAAGAATTTTATCATGAGCTGACATCAATTGAAGAATCACTGGACAGTTGTTCCGACCTAATTTGGGACTCTCCAGCAGTACGCACCCACCGGGATTCGAACCCAGGACCTTCTGGTTACAAGGCAAGCTCGTAGAACATTGAGCCACTGGGACCCGGTTCCAGGCTTTCCAGTGGTTCTCTAAATTATGCCAGCTCATGACGAAATCCTTTATGAAATACCTGATTATCTAAAATCTAATGTTTGTTCAGAGGTTTCTAACTTTGATAAATCTTCGACTGGAAGATATTTCCATTGTATTCAACACTGTAACAAGTAGAGTATAACTGGCAATCAGAGTTCGAAAGACTGACTAGATAAGTACTACAAAAGCCATTTCCAAATGGCACCCTGGACTGTGACAGTTTGTGACGAGAATTATCTTGACAGTGATATCCAGTGACACTGGCATTATACTGGCGTAAATTCCAGTCAAAGGTCAATCAGGCTAAAACTGTTTTGTCTAAGCACTGATAAAGTTTTGTCTTACTTAGACAAGGCTGAGCACTAGCGAAATTATCAAAGACGCCGGTGACCAACAATCAATTGAGTGAATAACTGTAAATTTATTTATCTAAAATCTTATTTGGAAAGATGAGTTAATGTGAGATTTAATCTTACATTACTTACCATATTTAATACTATTAAGAGGTGACATTGAGTTAGAAGAAGGTATTCGTTTATCTGCATTTCTGTTGAGATATGAACCTCTCTGTTGTACAGTATTGCCATGTTGACTTTCTGATGCAGTAGGCAGCCCGGGACTATTACGTAACGACTTTGAATGAGGTAACTGTAACAATCTATTTCTTTCCGGGTTCATATTTCTCTCGGATAAGTGTACATCATCATTCAACTTCGGGAGATACATTGAACCGGGTCTGGATCTAAGTTGTTTACCTAGTGGTGAAGTAGAGACAGCAGAAGCTTCACTGGTCATTGGTTGTCTGTCAATTGCCTTATGGCTGATGAGAGCACTGCCTTGTTGTGCTTCATTCTGTGTATCTTTAATTTGAGGTCTTGTAGAATAAGTGAAATCTGCAGTTTGATCTACTGAAGGTCCTTTTGTAGTGATGACTGAATTCAAAGGTTGTGGTTGATAACTTGTTGTCAGCTGTGTTGTATTTGTTTGTTTAAATTCGGAGGTTGTCCGAGGGACTGATTGTTGCCGGCTTAAGTTCTTCTGATTTCCTTTGTTTGTAAGACGAAAATCACATCCAAAAGATGGAACAGAAAAATTGTGTTCATGTGGATGTGATATTTGTCGAAATCTACAATTGAGAGGGGTAAAAAACAATAATCGATTAGAAATCCATGAAAAGAATTCAAAAGGACTTTATAAGTCTATTGAACTTAAGAAATGTAGTCCAGTTCCTGAGGTAATTAAATCTTACCAAAAGAATCATGTTACCAAATCCACTTATTATTATTATTCGTTGCTTGCGTTCTGAGTGGGACATAGGATCTCAATAGCACATCGTCATTCCATTCTGTTCTCTTGCACTACTTTCAGTAAGCTCCACGACTCCCCCACACGCATACATTTTCTCTTCACATGATCTTCTGTATATCACCCTTGGACCCACGTCAACCTCGTCACTTCTTATTTGGTTTCCACTTGCGTAACCTGCGCGTAATGTCACTTAGAGGTCTTCTGTGAGTGTCTTCAATCCATCTCCAATACCAAATCCACTTTGTAGGTTTAATGACAACTGTGAAACATGGTACATCTCTTTTTTGTATCATATTTTGTCCTAATTAAACAAGTTTCACCTTCACTTGTCTTGGTGATGCAATTAGGGAAATGGTTCAAAATCACTAGCATAGATCACATTGAAGACAGGTCTTTAAGTGAACTTAAAAAAGCACCAGTCATCATCAACAGAAGAAATCTGACGGAAGTAGTCTCCTTCACTCATCTAGGCGGAATTATTTCAACTACAGATGATGGTATGTACGAGAATGTCTAAGTCAGCTAGGATCGAATTGAGAAAATAAGACAAATCTTCATTACTGTGAATGAAGGTGAGAATCTGCAATATTCAGCATAAGTAAACAAGATCTGAGTTTTCAACCCATGTATCAAGACAGTGCTTTTTAATGGTTCAAAGACAGAGTATGTCGTGAAAAACATTTTCAACACATTGAAAGCTTTCATCAACAGTTACTTTCGCTCAGTATTGATAATTAAATCGCCGGTCGGAAAGGATAAGCGACAAGGAACTCTTGCAGTCAGTCACCGAATGACCGACCACCACCCAATAAATAGGCAGAAAGAAAGACAGACGGATGAGATAAGTTATGGGAAGACTGTTATGTGACATCAGGCTTCAGGCTGTTGAGTAGACTCGAACTGAATGCCACAATTTTGGTGTGAGTCCAAACGGTTACATGGAGGATATAGTGTATGGACAGAATGAAGGCTTATGGAAATTCACGGAACCAAGACGAAAAAGACTGAAGAGAATGAAGTGAAATGATGACATTCTGCTGAACCTCCAAGTTCCACTTAGAACGCCGGGAAATGACAATATAATGCATATTATTAGATAGTTTTGGACACTCTCTTCAATGATAACATTTATTGTGGGTTTCAAATGGAAACTCTATGTTTAAAATTTCAGAGAATTGGGTACTTAGCAAACAGTGTAATGATAAATGACAGTAAAGATGGCGAAGATGAAGTGAAGTGCAATGAATTCAATGATAAAATGAAGATAAAAGAAAGACAGGGATTTAACAGAGGTTACTTCCTTTACTTATCTAGGCAGCGTAGTCTCAATCACAGGCGAAAGAGATGAAGACGTCAAAGCTATCCTGAATCGGAAAGGCAAGATACGCCTTTCATCAACCTGAAACAAGTTTGGAAATCTTCTGCACTGCACTCAGTCAGCATAAACAACAAGATTCGAATTTTCAACACAAATGTGAAGTCAGTCACTTCTTCTATATGGGTCAGAAACTTGCACTGAGCGTCACGTTACAGACTTTTATCAGCAGCTGCCACCTTCCTGGCTGGTTCCATACTGAAGACTGAATGATCAGTTGGCCAGAAAGAATTAGTAACAAGATACTTCAGAGATGAAAAAGCCAACCAACAGCTGACTGTTGAGTGAATATGTAGGAAAAAATGGAGATAGGTAGAGAGTACATTGAGAAGGCCGTCGAATCACAGGAAAATACAGAGCCAACCATAATTTGTGAATTTTTCCATTTTTAATAAAAAATTATCGAAGATAAAATTTACAGTCCAGTATGCTTTTTCCTCTGATGGCAGATAAACTGATTATTAATAATTAATTTTACTTATAATCTCAAATGTAGTTGATTTCACCTTTGCAGATTTTAGCCCATATCACTCATCACTGAAGTTAGAGATGTCATCAGTAATCTATGCAAGCTCGAAAACTTGAAGATTTTGAGCGTCATTCTTGCTCAGGGGCGAGATCCACTAAGGCAAGGTAAGATGGATTATCATCGAAGGCATTGTTGATGGTAGCACTATATATCACAAGTTTACGAAGTTAAAATTCACTGGTGATTGAATTCCGGCCCAAGTAGCTCAGTGGTCAGAGAGCTTGGTTTCGTAACCTGAAGATTTTGGGTTCGATCTCTGATAGGGTCGAGGATTCACACTGCCAAGGAATCGCAAAAATATAACTATACTACTGTCCAGTGCTCCATGATCTTCAATGATCTCTGTAAATGATGTTAGTTCGTGATGAAATCTAACGACTGAAGTGAAAGGCGGTATTGCTGATGAATCTCTCACTCTCTCTTGTAACTAATAGTAAGAATCAATTCACTTTACCACCGTCAAATACCACCAAAAAGCACCATTAGCTCACCAAACAGACATCCCAGTCAATGGATTTTTAGCGTTGCAGGTGTATAGAAGCAGTCGACTGATTACAGGTGAGAGAAAAAAGTAGAAATCGTGTCATCCCCCCCTTTCATCCATCGAAGAAAACGAGAAATAGGTGAAATAGTTCCAAATTAGTCCTAGTCTAAAGAACATAAGATCATCAGACCTACAATAACGACCTTTTATCCCAATAACTTAACGTTCCAAGTGAAACACAGAGCTTCAAGCCTTAGGCTTCAAAGTTTCAGTAGCACTTGTATCACTTTTTACTAGGTGAGGTTGCTAGCCACACGCTTAACTTTCCCTCTTTACCAGACTTCCTATCAGCTAGGCGACGTTTAAGACTTCAGTGAATAGGAATCGAACCTGCAGCACACGTGTCGCTGTTGAACATTCTGCTCTTGGATCACTGACACACTGACGACGACTTAGGTCACGTATATAGGTAAGAAGTTAAAATCTCCCATACAGATTTACCGAATACTTTAATGACAAGTTTTAGCTTTGGTAGTGTGGGAAATTTTTTTCCTTCTTCACACTTTCTATTTTTATCTCGACAGCCTTATTTGTCTAATCGTTAGTTTATATACTTCTGACAACATTTCATCTGTCTGCTTTCACCTATGAAACGTCATATCTGCTAAGTTTATTTTAGAAATATTCTCACTTGTTACACAAACACACACACACACACAATCTATTTCCATCTGGAAATTGTATTTGTACCTTTCACTTCTTGCTGAATGAATTCAATGTTTTCAATTTTTATCATTGTTTATTTATACTCCATGGAAAAAAGGCACAAATTCAAATCTATATCATATGAAAAGAAATACTGAGAGAGAAAATCAAGAAGATCTGGGAATAGGGAAATAAGTTGGTTTATCTATGAAGAAAGGGAATACTATTCAGTATATCTTCAACTGACATTTCTTTCCTTCAGTAATGTCTTGTGATGTAGAAGAATTTCAAGATCACATGATTTATTTATAAATGTGAACTGTTTCCCCTTCTTCTTCTTCTATTTCTTCCAATATTCGGTAATGCATTTAGCATCACATGTAACTGTGTTGGTATCAAAGTTATATATCCACGTGAATGGAAACCAACATAATGTATTCTAAAAAAGCAAGTAATTAGCTGGTAATAGCAATAAGTTATTTGCCAGATATATGGCACTTTTGGTATAGAGTCCCTCACTTACATACGTAAGCCAACAAATTCACAAGCGATGGTGAGATTATCTGAGATGGCTTTGATTAGCAGACTGCCGTCGATATAGTAAGTAATGATTCAGAAGGTAAACTGGAAAATTCCATCCAGTGACCTTTCCGAGATTCCGGTCAGGTTTTCTACCAAGTGAACTACAGACAGTAACATAGTATTCATCCCCAGGAAATTTTGGTGGTACCAATAGGGATCCCAGTGAATGTATGACACGGTTAGCATTTGGAACTAGCAGTTCAAGTGGCAGAACACTGCCCACCAGTTCGAATCCTTTAACCCACCAAATTTATAATTGTACAGCTTGAATAAGAAGATACTCAGCAATATTTACTGAGAGTAGACCAGATAAGTACTCACAGTCACTAAAAAGCTGATTATTTCTCATTACTATAGTTACAAAAGAAATCACAGGAATTCTTTGAACCTAAATAAGTTTTGCGCCTTTTGATATTGATTAGCAAAAGCTATGTACAAACTCAAAAAGAGGATTGATTTCAGAGAGACAGAGAGAGAGATGGGCATGCTGAAAATCAGTGTAAATAAACGGCTGTCGTTGGATTGTTCAAAACAAAGTGTAAAGTCAAAGTGTTTTACAAAAAACATCTGAAGTGATACTGCTTGATTGGTTATTTTTTTATTTCCTTCACGTTCCCAGTGGAACATAGGGCTTCAAGCTAGTGGCTTGAAGTTTCTGCAGTAGTGTTTATTTTACAGGATAGGGGTTGCTAGCCTCATGTCCAACCTTTCCTCTTTACCAGCATTATTTCTGGCTTAGAGAGGTAAGGGAGTGCATCGGCCGGGGTTCGAACCCCGGACCATGTGCATGGTCGGCGAGCATGCTAACCGCTGTGCCATCGACGCATGTTTGATTGGTGCAGAATATTAATCATGAAATATTTCAACTTTGCTGAACACTGACTGTATCCAGGCTTGTTTGTTGATGAATTCATCATTGAATTAGTGAAGCTCAGTCCACCAGAAGATGCTGTTACTCATAACAGCTTTAAAAGTGTATTCAAAAGATCTTGAAATCCTACTATAGTTTAGTTACGTCTGAATTATTTTACCCTTTGCAGGTTTATTTTTGGTATTTCATAAGCATCCAGCTTCCAGTGGATGTCCTAAAAGTTAAAGGGAATACTTCTCTTCCATTTATATATGTCTGAGTCTGTCTAACGA